GATTCATTCCTGGGCAAGTTAGACCTCAGAGTCAAAGAGCTGACAAAGCACATGCTCAGATTTGAGGCTGCTTTATACCTCCAGGAGATTCAAAAGAAAGCACAGTGCTGCTTTTAGAAAATTGATGAAGGTGTTTCTATTTCAAGCATGGGATTTTATATTAGTGTCCATTTCCAACCTCACTTTACCCCATCTCAAAGTCCTAGCTAATGCTTGATGGCGGTAGGCAGATCACACCACAGCCCTGGTATTGGTGACTGGGTTTAGGTGCCTGCTCAAGAAAAGAGGGCGAGGGTCCCTGCTTGCTCACTCGTAACACTAACAATCAGACAGTTCTAGTAGAAGCAGAGAGTTATTACTGTAAATTCTTGGGTCTATTTTGCTGGCCCTGCTTCCTGCTGAAGGAAAGGTCAAGTTTTATGCTCCATGTCAAGCCAGAGCAAGGCATAGTCCTGAGATGGGTAACAGTGAGTCACACACCACCCAGGATGTTGAAGCAGCATGCACGAGATTATCCGGACGTCATGTTGTTTGGTTTTAAAGCAGTGCTGTTGAGTCTCAGTTGCTGGGTGTCACTTCAGGTGCACAGAGCAGCTTAGAGAAACTTGTAGATTCATTTTGATAAATAACAGTGTTGGTGTCTTCCCCCTTGTATCTGTGCTGCGGCAGGATGACCTGCAACAGGGAAGGTAAGCAAAGGAGTTTCAGGCTGAAAGACAGATAGAAAAACAAACCTGTGTGCTATTAGATATTTGCTCCTTAGGCTTTTGTCAACCGGTTTCTTCTGTGTCACCAAGGAAAACCCTGGTGTGTGCTCCTGCTGTGGTGATGCTTACATTATTCCTGAGCAGCACTAACATGAAAAGTACACAGTTCTTGTTGGGTTTTTTTATAGCCTGATATTCTATACCTGGCACATTAAAGCAGAATTTGATAGTAAAATGCACGTAGCTGAATGATAGATGTACCAAGGAAGAAAAGCATTTTATTCCAGCTAGGACAAACTAGAAAAGGCTGGGTATCAGGAAATGCATCATGACAATAACATCTGCCGGGTGCAAAGTAATCTCCCTCTGAGAGTGGTGGGATCAGCACTGCTTCTGACATTTGAAGCTCGATAAGACAGACCTAATTTGATCTATAGCATAGTTGGCTTCTAGGGAGGTCATCTGTATGATCCACTGGATCCTTTTCCATCTCTAACTTGTGTGACTCTGTCTTTCTGACTCTCCCCAGGTGATGAAATGTCATTACAACCTTTTGAAATAATATAGTGCTGCCTGGAGAGCAGGGACTGATTTTCTCATTTGCAAGTGAGAGGCAGTGTGTGAAATTGCCATTCCTGTCACTGGATGGATTGAGTAAAAAGTTTGAAGTGTTTAAAACAGGACATTTCCCCCCACCCCAGACAAACTGCCTGAAACAGGTTTCAAGGGGCTGGGAAGGTGAGGATTACAGGTTTAAATAACGTTCACTGTATTCCCTGAGGCTTAGGTTAGTGGAAGCTGTTTGCCACCTAAAAATGGCTCAGCCAATCTGACAGGTAAGCTTCCTACTGATTTACAGAGGATGAGGAAGTCTATGCTGTCTGCTGCAGATCAGGGGGTATAAAACTTGTCCTTCTGAGCCATCAAAGCCTCTGCTTGTTAGTTTGACTCTAAGAAATGTCAAAGAATCCTCGGTGCTGACACACAGTGACTAAGTGCATAAGTAATTTAACTCCAGAACTGCATCTTTGGAGAAAGAATGAGAAAGTTGTGGTGTTGCCTCAACTGATTTTCTTTAATCATAGCCAGCAGTTGATACAGTTCTCAATAGCGTTGGTTTCCGTCTGTTCATGGAGTGCAAAAACCTGATAATCATCTGGTACTGCTGAGCATTGTAGCTGACAGCATCTGAAACTCCAGACATGGTGATGAATTGCACTATGATATATTAAGGTTATTTTGATCCCTGCTCTTCCAGAATTACATTGATCCAATTAGGTTAAGTAGCTTGCCATCTAAATTAATTTACTTTCCCCTATTAATCTTTTTTACTGTGGGTCAAAACCACAAATGTAAATCAATCTATTACATTGCATATCTTTGTGGGGTGGGGAGGGCTGTTATTAAATTACCTAATAGATACATATGTTGAATTCCTTGTTTGGTATGTTAAACATTATTGCTATAATTGGAAAGCGGAGTGGAAGCTGGGTGCTTGTTACACTTAGTTTTTATAACCTTTCAAGTAATGCCTTTACATGACTTGCTGTCCCTGAACACTAATGCTGTGTGCCTGTATGGCTGTCCAGCTTTTAAGATAATAGACATGCTTAAAGTGGGGCTAACGGCTTCTTTCTCTGCCAGAAATTGTTGGACTGCCTGGCAGCACGTCTTGTAGAGGTCCCCAGCCTCTATAGTGTGGAGAAAACCTTTCCTCTGGCTTGCTCCCAAACTAGCCCTAGCATTGTACGTGGCAGGAAAACAGATGTCTCAGTTATTAAACTGGAGGAGCGTTAATGCAGACTCCTGAAAAGCTTTTTTCTTACAAAGGTGGTACATGAAATTTCCATGATTTGAAATCCTACTCTGGCTTCTACATTGGGGCATACTTTTTCTTTTATTAGGTTACTCCAACAGTGGGAGTCCGTCACATTGGTTCTCTTACCAATCTTTTACTACTCACCCTGAGAATTCTTACATTCATCTGGTATTTTCATCAGGGTAGATAGCAAAATTCATCCTGATAGGGACACTGATGACAGCTACACCAGGATTATGTTTACCTGCAATTTGTTTGCCTGTCCTAGAGGATTAATTCAAGTCAAACAACCTAGGTAACGTGGCAGGTCAGGTTGCTGATCACAGCGCTCCCTTCTGGTATCAAAATCCATGAATCTATGAAATGTTTTCTGAATCTGTGCCTGAGGGTAGAATGAACAGAAGCAGAAAGGTCACCTTTATCATCACTGCTGTCAAACCCTTTGGAAATAGCAGAGCACAAGGCAAGTGTATTGCTTAATCACTTTGACCTTATGCTACATCTGTTCCCCTATCTCTTTCCTGTATTATGTCCCATCACATAAAAAATCACTCCTATATGAAATCCCCTTTCCAAAAAGTGCAGAGCAGAACTCTGTTGGCTTTGAAAGCAATGGGATCTTGCCTTTTGCAAAGGCAATTAATGCCTGCTAAGCACAGAACTTAGCAGTGTTGCTATATAAATAATAATGATAATGAAAAATGCCACTGTTCTTTGTGATAATGAGGCCATAGGAAACATGGATACAGCAAGTGTTGTTTCAGGCAGGTCCCTGTAGAGGTTGCAGGCACAAGAGGTGAGACAACTGTTGGCATCAAGCATGTCTCGTGTCACCATGGGGTGGTTTAAGGTGTCCCTGTGTAGCTGGTTTGTGAAATATATGGAGTATCTAAACACTAGATGCTTGTTTGGCAACTACATCCCATTGTAGGTGTAGTGGTTGAGGTCCAGAGCAGGTCCTGTACAAGCCACCAGATGCTGCAGTGTTTGAACATTCAGTATCTATTAATATGCTTTTATTTCCCACAAGCTGAAAAATGTAAAGTGAGAATATTCTTTATGTTGGGGTTTGCTGTTTTAATCTTTAGATGTTGCAGTTTCCTTCTTGATGTGGCCTTGTTTCATTTGTTATTTTTTTTCCTTCTCTCTTAAGATAGAGGCTTTTAAAGATGGGTTTTCCTCTCTAATAACTCTTTGTTCAGTTCCTAGCACAACCAGATCCTGGTCATAACTGAGCCATTGGACATTAATGTGGTGGAAATAAATCAGTAATGGAAATTAAATGTGTGTTCAAGTTCCAGTTTTAATGTTTATATAAATTGCAAGAAACATACAAAGACTCTGTACTACTTCCCACTAGTATATTTGCAAGAGTGCAGCATTAAGCAGCTTTAAATAAAAGGAAGAGCCTGATTTGTTCAAATGAACATCCCAAGGGCGAAACACCTCTTCGAAGAGGAGCAGAAAGAACATGGTGAAATGCTGTGCGAAAGATTTTCAATAGTCCAAACTCACCAGTTTTCTGAATATGATGGTGGCATTTATCTATGGTTTTCTCTGTATTGTGCTTCTGCATTTCACTAGTGTTTGTCAAAACTCAAGCATGTTTGTGTTGAGTGCAGCTTAAGACCTATGTTAGGAGTAAATGTGAATATGTATTCTTCCTTCTGGCCTTGTTAAAAATGTTCTTTAGTTGAAAACCAGATCAATAGCAAGACTTCTTTTATATGTATATAAGCAGAAGATGCTTTCCCTGTCCCATGGGTTTCTACAGGAATGATTTTTTCATAGTTGTCACACACATGCCCCTCTCTATAGAGTTCTAGGAAATGGTAATTGCATTGTATCATTGCCAAAAGCATGAGGGGAAGAACTAAGAGCATGAGAACAGAGAGCCTCATCACAGACATGGCCTTTTACTGTCTCCTGATGCATCATTTCAAGTTGTTAGATTTCCATTCATGAATATCCTTTTCAGATGATCAGAATAAATCCAGTTCTCTAACTTCTATATGCTCTTGTAGTGTTTTAGCTTGAGTTTGTTCCCTTTACCAAGAGCTAAGCTAGTCTTTGGGTGGTCACATGCTGATGAATACAACACATTATGTAGTAAACTAAGTAACACAGGGAGAATATTTTACTTTTCCACAAGCCATCATTATTTAACAATGCTCCAAATGTCAGATTTAATGTAAAATATATTGAAAATGATGTGGAAGATTCAATACTGAAATGTGGAGTCCTTATACAGAAGAGGAAGCAGTCTGGAAAGTTGTAGTCACAGTTAATGAAGGAAATGTTCATGTACTGCAACGTCAGTATTTGGAGTTATATCTTTCCTTATTTCGCTCACAGCCCCGGTAAGTCATTGTATCTTTAATGCTTGGCTTTGATCGCTATCTTAAACGGAACCACTAAAGGACAAAGTCACAGTGATGTGGCCTTCATATTACATGTGCTCTATTTTTTTCCAGCGGCCTGTTAGCCAGCAGCTTCACAGAGACCCATTATTTGAAAGACGGCACTGACGTGGTCCTCGTACGCAATTACACGGTAAGGTTGGTGTTTCACAGGTAGATGATGCTTCACTGTTAAACCCCAAGGTTCTCTCTGCCAGGATCTGAGCTGTGGGATGAAACAGCTCCATGTGTGATCTTTTCTCATTGTTGCCTTCAGTACCTTTTTTGACTGCTGTGATCCTACACATGAATTTCTAGAGGAAGACAAGGCAAGCTGTTGGGTTTTAACCAGGTGACTTTTAAAAGCCGTAAGATTTATTCAGCTGCTTGAAAATATACCCATTAAAACGTTAGAATAAATGAAGCCATTGTGGATCAGTTATGGAAGAAAGTCGTGGTTCAGTCAGGAAGAAAGCCCTAAACATCTCATTTCCATAGTGCAGAAGTTCAGATCAGAGGTGTTGAAGGCTTGGGTATGTTTCTGCATTTAGGAATTTGGGAGAGGGGGCTGGTTCTTTGGGTATACTTTTTAAACCAGACCATAAAACTGTTATGGATACACGTGATACTTAAATATATATGTGTATACATAAGTAGGTAGGTAGGTATGTGTATATTTATGAGTATGCATATATATAAAAATATGGGTAACATGATCCTGGTTAAAATCAGTAGTTAAAAACTGCTTTTTATAAATAGAAAACAGTTTAAAGCAGTAATGTTTTTTCCTCTGACAGTACAAACGCCTTAATTAGAAACAATGCAGCAAGTGATTTTAATTACAAAGTTTATCTTTTCTCTGCCTAAGTCCTATAAAGTATTGGTTGCGTTACGTTATTTATTTACTGACACTGTCAGAAGAGGCATTGTGCTTTGTGTTCCCATCCGTAACAGGCTTTGCTGGTGTCAGTGAAAGGCATTATTTCTATGCATAACATCTCCCTTCTGAAAAAGCATCTTCATTATAGCTCCAAGTAAAGCAATCATTTTGAAAGCTTTCAGTATTTTCTTTCTCACTGGATGCTCATATCTTCTTCTAAATCAGTTTAGTAGTAAATAGTCATTTGTTTTAGAAACTGGAAGGCTGTATAGACTCCTAAAGGAAGTAAGTGGAAGAAACGAAGCACACAAGTCTTTGACAGATTAACCTACGTTAATATGAATATGTGTACGGCTAATGGTAGCTAGACTTTCCCTTACTAAAAAATATCTGTTTTCATAACAGCAGTAAGTCATGATTAATACTGACAATGCATTTTGCTGCCTAAAAGATAATTTTTTTGAGAGAGATCACCGAATTCATTTTTCATTAAATGTTGCAATATGGTTTCAAAAAGATAAGTCCCTGTGATTTTATTTTTATATCTCTTCTTCACTGAGGACATCAATATAGTCTGTAGCTGTAACCAAATCCAATTTCCTATTGAAAAGTTGCTTAGTCAAATTCTGCTCGGAGGTCGAACTGAGTCAGGTTTGTGGAGCTGTCATCTGGGGAGTTTCTAGCACATGAATCAGTGTCTACAATATTTTTTCTGGTTTATAGCGCTTGAAAAATCTGCAGTTGTCAAAAGCTGGTGTTTATTAAATGATCTCAAGTAAAGGTAGAGTTCTGCTTTAAGTCTGACAAATCAGCCGTGGTAATTAATTGTTTTTAGGGGGTCATCTATTTTATTACTGCTTTACAGGAGTAAAAAAGCTTTGATAGGAGAGGGGGGAAAAAGAAATCCTGCAGTTCAGTTGAGTTACTGAGCTAGAAATCAATTTTCTACCAGTCCGATTGCAGGCCATGGTCTGATAAGTTTACATTTTCGGTATTGAACTTCGGCATCATATAGCAGGTGGGTCTGAGAGAAACTGTGAAATGGGCCACAACAGGGAGCTCAAAGTTAATAAAATGACAAGTTGTATGTGGAGAGGGAAAGATATCAGGCCCTTTGCCATAATTCACTTTGATAAAGACAGCTAGACTGCAGCAGCAGGCTGCGTGGGACGAGATGTCAGCTTGCCCTCCCCATTCCACTCACTACTGTGATTAACAGTGATGATTAACCCCAAAGACTGCCTTCTTAAGAGCTCTGCCTTATACTTAACTTGAAGTGATGAGAATAAACCTACTTTATATTTGGTTTTAGCCTGTTTCACGATCACTATATAAGTCCCCACTCTATACTTTCACTATATACTATCAGTGCTGAGGTGGGGGACATTGTTTTTTCTCTTATCAACTGGATGCATGTAACTGATAACATTAAATTAAAGAGAAATAGTATACATTGTAATATACATTGTAATATACATTGAAAACTTTCACAACCCTGGCAATTTTGACTGAAGCAATCTTTTCCCCCCAAATTCAGTGCATGACTTCCACCCTTCTATTGCCACTTTATCCTTTCTAATGAGTTACTCAGTCTATGAGTCCTGATGATAAAAATACCCAAGACTAAAAACCTATTACCCTGTTTCCATTGTTTTTTTCACTGAGAAAAGCTATTGAGATTTAGAAGGTCTGATATTACTGTTCCATGTTCAGTTGCTCATGTTGGAAATACAAATGCTTTAAGCCTAAGCAATTATTTTTCATGGTTATAACCTTATTTGGAGAAAATTCATATCTGAATTATTGCATCTTGCCCAGCATTTTCATGGCTATTGCTTTCTTTAGCAATATCAAGGTGGTCTTTAGAAGTCTGCTGTGTGTGAGGCTTTGTAAGTGAAAGCCATGCCCCAAAACTGAAAAGGTTAATTAATGCAGCTGGATGGATGTGAATGAACCCAGTAATAAAAAGACACAGTGAGATGACTGTCAGGTTGAAGCATGAGTGATAACTTTCCTTTGCACTAATAAGATAGGAACCTTTTACAGCAGTGCTTTCAGTTTCCAGGTGGCATTCAAAGGAGTCATGAGAAAAGAAATGCTGGACGTTGACACAATCATGGCTTTCCAGCCAGCCACGTAATTGGGAATGTAATATAACCTTTAGTCAACAATAAAATTAACCTTGATTCCAGACAGATATGTGTGTGTGCTGAGAAAGTATCTCTGTTGTGGGTGCCTTTTGCAAGCAGTGGATTATTAAGGAAATACAATAACCTAGCCACAAAATGAAATTGGATTGTTGCCTCTCAAAATAGAAGACCCTCTTATACTTGGTTGTCCTTAATAACATGCAGCCACTCGGTTAGGTAATTCAATAAAAGGTTTCCTTTCCAACTTGTTTCCATCCCCCTTCATTTGCTCTGTGACTTTTTTCAAACTATAGAGTTTGGATTGGCCTTTTTGTACTTGTCTTTATGCATAGCTGCCTTCTATAGGCATACATAGATGCAAATACCCTTAAATAAAAATATGTGTCTCCATAGAAAGTAGTAATGTGTCAGCCAATCTGTTAATTTGATTAATTTCATAAAATATTCCATATTATAGCTTTAAACAAAATAACACAGAAAACGGTGGTCAGATGGGCAATTTAAACGTTATTGACCCTCTTAAAAACATAACCCAAGAACAAACATTACAAACCAGAAAACTCCCCTGACCCTTTGGTGTTTAAAAACCACCTAAGGTTTCCATTTAGGAACAATCTGGAATCTTTAGTAGAGTGACTTTATTAGTGAATATTATGATTTAGTGGGACAGGAAAGGTGTTGTGAGTGTTTTTGAATGTTGTAGCCTGAAAAAGATGCTCCCTTTCAAGTAAGGGGGGCTAAAACCAGTATGGAAACTAGAGAGCAAAGGATGTTCCTGACTACTGAGATGCTTTCTCTTTTTCACAATCAGGGTCACTGCTATTACCACGGCCATGTACGAGGGTACCCAGACTCCTCAGTCAGTCTCAGTACCTGCTCTGGACTCAGGTAAGCCAATACTTCACTAATACTTGAGCTCCTTAAGAAATCATCTTTGTACCCATTGAGTTTGTGGTTTGCCTTTTAATAAGCATGTCAATATCCACTTTCCAAATACCCATTTTTCAAACATCCATTTTTCAAATGGTGGTGCAATCTCCGTGAAAACATTTTCCCTCTAGTTGCTTTGATAATAGATAGCAGTTAGGTGTTTTCCATGATGTCCCTTGTCTCTTGCTGCCCATCCTTCTCTATGCCCCTTTATAGCAGTGTGATGCTTGGCACATTTTGGAGCTGGCAGTGTCCAGTACCCCTCCAATCCCCCTTGTCCTCAAAGCTGTGTCACCAGTGATGGCAGGACTCCTTTGCAGCTGTGAACTCATGCATGGTCCAGCAGCCTCAGCAGTAGGAGAGATTGCTTTAAAAATACGGCTGTGGAGCTCCATAGGTCGTGTTCGTGGCAGATATGATGCTCAGCATTAGGATTTAGCTACTTGCTAACACAAGAGTAACAGATTCGTATTGCTGAAACCCAAACCTCTTCTGAGCTTGAGAAAGGAACAGGCTGACAACAGTTTAAATGCACAATGGACACAGTTCAGGAAACAATTATCTTCCTTACTTGGACAATCAGAGACTGGTATTTACTCACAGAGCTGTTCCAAATCACAGTAATTAACTGTAAATTGGCTCTAGTGTTCTCCCTGGAAAACCCAGTTTTCCTGTCAGATTTCCAGCTGTCTCAACCTTTTCTGGGTCTAATTTATCTACAAGCAGCATGAGTAGCTGGAATCTTTTTCCCTTGATTTTGCATTTTGCGCAATAGTGGTATCATCAAGGCTTTAATAACAGAACTGTGGGATTGACAGCAGCGGAGAGAGCAAAGAGTTTGTTACCAAGACCCTTACCCCTGTTCAAGGGACCCATTTGCAGTAGCAGATGGATTCCTGGGGCTCATTCCTACGTGGACAAGGGCCTTATGGCATCTTCCACAGATTTACTCTAATTAACCCCTCACATGGACCATGGCAGTCTGCGTTCACCAGTCATGCTCTCAGTCTGTAAAAATATGTGTTGCTCCCAGCATTTTAATTACAGGTATTGCTTTGCTGCAAGCTCCATAGGCAATATTTGCACCATGTAGGACAGGGTCTGCACTGATGTCTTGTTCAGGAGTTACCTAAGAAATTACAAACTCTCAAGAGAAATTGCTCTTCTCCACATTAAAAGCATTTTCTACCTTCTCTAATGTGCTGTTATTGTCATTGTTGAGCCCATAGAGTTGTTTCCCAGTTTTAGATAGTCAGGTATGTCAAGGTAACATATGCTGGCAGTGACATTTTTGTCTCATCTGGCACTACTGCAGATAAATCCCCAAAGTGCAAGCTGAGAGTATTAAGCTCCTTCCCCACAGGAAAAGTGTAGCAACATCTTTTTCAGAACAAAGTCTCCCTGTTGACTTACTCCACAAGACTCACTTCACAGCCTGATGGTGAATAGCAATAACCTCCAATCAGTACCTGTGCTTGGTCCAAGCCAGTGATGTCTATTTGAAAGCCATCATAATGCACTGTCAGCAGCTTGAACCATCCAGGCTTTCTCATTAAAACTGGTTAGGAATCAAAGATCAGGTGGTGTGAAATCCCAAGGAGCTGCTCTGAAGTTCTGAGAGCACTAAGTACCTTCCAGAATCAGACCCACAGGTCACTGTATATCTCTGCCACCAAAACATTGCTGTGTCAATGCATCCCTTCAGAATGCAGGTGGAAAGATCTAGTTGATCTTGATCAGTGTTGCAGGAAGTTGATCAGTGATCAGGAAGATGTCCCTGCTCATTGCAGGAGGATTGGAATAGATATCCTTTAAAGGTCCCTTCCAAACCAAACCGTTGTATGATTCTGTGATTTACTAGACGTGATCCAGTCTGAAATAATATGAGGAGAAATAGGACAGTTCAAAAGTACTTCATGGCTTACTTTGCTGGCAACTTTACCAGTATTACAGCTTGAAAGAATAGTTATGGATAGGATAGGATAGGATAGGATAGGATAGGATAGGATAGGATAGGATAGGATAGGATAGGGTAAGATAGGATAGGGTAAGATAGGATAGGGTAAGATAGGATAGGGTAAGATAGGATAGGATGATGTACTTGCCCACCAATTTGCTGGAGTGGGGACTCTTGTTTTCTCATGGCATGACAAAGACTGCAGGGACTTAGAGACATAAGCCATCATTCGGTCATGGAGCCACATGGTGCAATCCTTGGAGCAGTCGTTCCATTTGCAGCAGCCGGTGGAAGGAAAGACTGGTCTCATTCTCAGGGTCTGTTCCTGGCTTTGTGACAGTTTCTAAGTGAATTGGACAAACCTCTCTGTCTCAATTTCTTCATCTGTGAAATTCATTTAATGATCCTTACCTACCTCACACAGCTGTTGCATGGAGCTGAAGTTTCAGTGCCTGAAAAACATCTAAGGAAAGGAAGTGCAAGCTGTTAGCTCACTGAAATCTCAGAGCACTAATATCCTCCCACTCCTCCAGACAAGCACCTTGGGCATTGTTCCAGGTGTGGATAGGTAGGGACTGTGTCTTTTCCCCCAGATTAGGAGAGTTCATTAAAAGATGTGAAACTAGTCATAAAGAATAGGTTCCACATTTGGTATGCTCTGAAGCCTGAGTGCTCAGCAGTAGTCAAAGAAGCAAAAAGGTTCATAGGAATTACTGAGAGAGAAATAGAGGATAAAACAAAAAAAACTTTGTTACCACTTTATAAATCCATAGTGAACTCACATCTTGAATTCAGTTCTGCTTTTCCCTTCCCCATCTCCAAAAAGGAAGCATTATACCCAAAAAAAGTCACAGAGAAGGGCAAAACTTATGATCAAAGGTAAGGAACACCTTTTATCCAGGGAGAGAAAATAGACTAGGATTTGTCACTTTTGGAAGGAGATGATGGAGAAAAGGGATATGATGAGAGAAGACTGAATGTCTTGCTGAAGAGGGGGCAATTGCTGACATTTTTCATAACCCCAAAATTCGGAGACATCAAATGAAATTATAGAGCAAAGGGAAAGTACTTTATTATTCACCACCTAATGAAGCTGTGGAGCTCCCTGTCATCGGTGGGTGTCAATGTAAAACGTACCTGTAGATTCAAGAAAGAAGAGACAATTTGGGGAGGAGAGAAAGAAGGGGCATCTCTAGGGCTGTCAAATCCAAAGATGGCTCATGTTGTCAGAGCTGGGGGTACCAACTCTGCTGTGCTGCTTATGTTCTTGTGTCCTACTCCCAAGTATCTGCTTTTGGCCAGGGCCAGAGATAAGGCGCTGAGCTGGAGCAACCTTGCTCTGACCTACTGCAGTCATCAAGTTCTCATGGTACAGACACACCGTTGATCATTTGAGAGGTGCTGTTAGCTAGTAAATACAGCACAGTTACTCCATGATGAGCTACAAGGAGAATCAAGTGTTAAATCTACAAACTAAGACTGTTTAGGTTTGACTAGCTGACGTTTTTCAGGCAGGTAGAGGGGGTGAGATATAAAGATAAATGAGAAGTAGACCCATCTCTCCTGTACACACTCACTTATTCCAGCTATGTCACATCCTCTCAGACATAACATTCAAGTGCCTCGCTTCACATAGGATTGAAATGGCATAAATAGTTGGATGGACACTGATAGCTGCCTAAAATGCAGGTTAGAGAAGAATATAATTGTGCCATAATCCATATCCTGCTGCTCCTCCAGAGGAGGAAGAGCTGAATGGCGAAGAAGAGACAGTAAATGCTGAATGCAGAAAATGGGAACAATGGGTAATCAGGATTTCCGGCACTTCCATCTGGATAAGAAAGCCAATTAGACTGTCAAAGCCTGTGGGAAGGTGAAGGTACGACAAGGTCAAGTCGTTTCCTTCCTGTCCTCAGGAAACACCCTTCTGTTTGTCTAGCTCAGAGGCTCTTCAAGTCCTTAGCAAATAATTTTGGCCTGTAGCCAGCAGACACATCTTCTGTGATGAATTTGGGTAGACTCAAATGATTTTTCCCCTGTTCCTTTCTCTGCAAGTGCGGAACCTAGTAAATACACATTAAAAAAAAGCAGCCTGAAAAAGGGCACAATCTCTATGGTCCAGGAGCTGGCAGAGGATGCTGACATGGGGGTGTTCAGCTACAGTGATGCTTCTGGTGGGTGAAGTTTCTGTCAGAAATGCTTTGCTAGTCTAAGGATAGAAATCTCATAGGAAGCCTTTTGAAAACACCAAAACGCTCTTGAAAGTTCTAAGAATCCCTTAGAGTTGCCCAATTTCTAGATAATAAACCCATTAACACATACAGAATGTATTTCATCATTGTCCAGTCCTATCAGTGACTGAAAGATGTTGTGTCCACAGAGAAAGTGATGGGGATAAGGCCCCAGAACTGATCAGACAATTGTTTTTAATGGGATTACATGGTCATGCTACACAAGGCCACCAGCGTTAGAGCCATCCATTTTCCACATGGTCTGGCTGAACCCACTGTGTCCCAGACACAGTCAGCTGAAGAGGGGGGTTAAATATGACACTCCAGACATCAACTATTTAAAAAGGGAATGGAAGTAGGAAACCAGTGAGAAAAAAACCCTTAAATTCCTCATATTCCTCAAGCATGATTTCCACACAGAAAGGGAGATTGCATCCAAAAATGAGGTTAGGAGAAAATCCCAGCTGAGAAAAGCTCTGGTTTGGATGTGTGCTTTCCTCCCGTACTGTCTGAAGAGCTTTTGTTTCATATAAACATCTCACATGGTTTGTAAGTTATCTGACCGTGAAACTACTGGAGGTTTTTGAGCTCTACGTACAAAGCATTCAGCTTCTGGGGTTTCATAGCTTCTGTATTCTGGCTGTTTGAGTGCTAATCAGCTCCTGGATCATGATCCCTTCTATGTTCTGAGATGAACAGCATGTCCACTCTTTGACAGTTGTGTGCACACTGTCCCTAGGTGCACAGTGATCCCCTGAGCATCACTGCTG